GCAGAGGTTGTTGTGCCCAGAGTCTGGACCCCCAAAGACCACCAAGACACCAAATCTGATGCAAAAGCAAAGAGTGTAGGTAGAGTTTTCCTGCCTGGCCCACAGTCAGGACAAATCTCTCTCACCTGCCAGTCCCACAGCCGTTCAAACCCGACCAAGTAAACACAGAGACTTATTTTGCTTACAAACTGTATGGCCGTGGCAGGCTTCTTGCTAACTGTTCTTACAGCTTAAATTAACCCATTTCTATTAATCTATACCTTGCCACGTGGCTCGTGGCTTACCGGCATCTTCACATGCTGTTTCTCATCATGGCAGCTGGCAGTGTCTCTCTGACTCAGCCTTCCACTTCCCAGCTTTATTCTCCTCCTTGTCCCGCCTACACTTCCTGCCTAGCCAATGGCCAATCAGTGTTTTATTTATTGACTAATTAGCAACACATTTGCCATACAGAACATCCCACAGCACTTCCCCCTTTTTTTTTCAAAAAGGAAGGTTTTAACCTTAACAAAGTTAAATTACATATAATTTGGGAATTTGGGCATAGCTTCTCTTACTACTTCCTGCTGGAGGGGGGCGCTGTATCTTATGGGGAAACAAAATTTTAGGATTATGGAATAGTCCATGAGGCTGTATCGTCTGAGCCAGATGCCTTCAAACCATTCTGGATGTTGGATCATCTGGGCCATGGTGTCATTGGAGACCTTTCAGGGGGTCTTGGCTGGTCAAACCTGATGTATCTTAATCTGGAACAAATCCATAGCCTCTGGCTTTCTGTGGAAACAAAAGCAGAGTCTCCTTTCCAAAGTAACATATCCTTACATCCAAATTTTGAAGTCAAGGTACCTTTAAAATATACATTTTGGCATAACTCAACAGCTTTTACAATCAAATGCTTTTCTGCAGTTAAAAATCCCAAAGACAACACAATCCAGATTCTCTGTGTAATATTCATCTTCACGTGGCTTATTTTTTGTATTAACTTTACTGTCTCTTTAAAGACTTTATTTTTTAAAACTATGTATTTGTTTCTATAACTCTATATATCATCTTTTTTGTCTCTTTCAAGCCTACGTATCTTTTACACACATTGTAAACTATTACATCTGAATCTGTCTTATTGTGAATCTATTGCCTTAAACTGCAGCAGCTGTGGCGGCTGGCTCCACCCACCTCAGCTTCCCAACATGGCTACATTTACCACCAGCTCTGGGAGCTATCGTGGGTCTATGCTTTTATCCAAGCAGCATGTAGCCCAGAAACCTCTTTTTTTGTTTTGTACTATCAAAGGCTAAATCCACCACGCAGCTTAATGTGCCACTTGCAGAGGCCTCATTCCCGCCAAACTGCAGGTCAGCGCACATGCTAGGAACCCACCAGTAGCTCAAACAGGCAGCTGCCGCTCATTTGAGAGAGACAATTAGGAAGCTGTTTTTAGCTCCGTTTTAGAATCTTTTTTTCTCAGTTTTTAGGTGGAAACTCTTGCCACCACGTTGGATGCCATTTGTAGGTAGAGTTTTCCTGCCTGGCCCACAGTCAGGACAAATCTCTCTCACCTGCCAGTCCCACAGCCGTTCAAACCCGACCAAATAAACACAGAGACTTATTTTGCTTACAAACTGTATGGCCGTGGCAGGCTTCTTGCTAACTGTTCTTACAGCTTAAATTAACCCATTTCTATTAATCTATACCTTGCCACGTGGCTCGTGGCTTACCGGCATCTTCACATGCTGTTTCTCATCGTGGCGGCTGGCAGTGTCTCTCTGACTCAGCCTTCCAATTCCCAGCTTTATTCTCCTCCTTGTCCCGCCTATACTTCCTGCCTAGCCAATGGCCAATCAGTGTTTTATTTATTGACTAATTAGCAACACATTTGCCATACAGAACATCCCACAGCACTAGAGTCTTTTTATTGTGATTAATTTATTATTAACTCGTGACTCTCCATCTGTCTGTCTGCCACAGCAGCAGAGCAGGAGATACCCCCAAGTAGCAATGGAGCAGGGTTTTTATAGGGGGTAAAGCAAGGGGGGTCTTGGGGTCTACAGACTACATAGGAACAGACTCAGGATTGGTTTATGTGAGTAGCAATCATATTAGTAATTTTTCATTGGCTAGGGTTAGTTGGGGGGTTACAGTTATCTTTTTTTGGACAGGCCTGGACAAGTCCCTGCTGTGGAGGCTGGCAGGCCTAGCACATACTGACTGTGGGGGCTGGCTTAGTAGCCCAGGCTTGGTGTGTTCTATCTCCCTGTCCCTGCTAACAGGGGCATCAGTGATTGTCTTTTGTTCATGACCCTCCCAGAAGCTGCTTGCTCAGTCTCAGGAAACTGAAATTGAGGCCTAATCTCTGAGAGAAGACTGAGCAGCCTGTTATGGCGTTTGCTTATACCTCTCAAGGTCTTAGCAAACTGGCCCCTGGAAAAAACAACTGGCCCTGGTCCCTTCAGCTAGCTTGCAGTTTCAGAGGTCCAGTCCATTATCATCATAGCAAGGAGCATGGTGGCAGGAAGGCAGACATGGTGCTGGAGAAAGAGCCGAGAGTCCTACGTCTTGCAGGCAATGGGAAGTCAACTGAGACACTGGGCAGTATTCCAAGCATAGGAAACCTCAAAGCCCGCCGGCACAGTGACATACTTCCTCCAACCAGGCCACACCCACTCAACAAATCCACACCTCCTAATAGTGCCACTCCCTGTGAGCTTATGGGGGCCAGTTACATTCAAACTACCACAATTCTCCAGCACCATGTCTGCCTGCACGCCGCCATACTCCCAGCCACCACGCTCCCCGCCATGATGATAATGGACTAAACCTCTGAAACTGTAAGCTGCCACCTCCATTAAATGTTTCCCTCATAAGAGTTTCCATGGTCATGGTGTCTCTTCACAGCAATAGAAACCCTAGCTAAGGCAGGTGATATCCATACTGACAGGTATGTACTGAAGGGGCACTGCCCACTCAAGCACGTGGCTCCGGCAGGCCTTGCCCTTCTCCCACTCCCTCTGCCTTGCTAAAAACCATTAGATCACATTCCTAAATCTAGCCACCAAGGTCTACTCTTATTTGACCACTTCCTCCTCCCAAGGCTGACTACCAAGGTCCAGCTATCAAAGTATTGAAGTTCAGAAATCAAAAGCCCCCTTTGGTTCATCTATTTAACATGCCCAATCAAAATATACCGCCAAGTGCTAACCCATTCTAACACGGGTCTCCCCTTTTCTTTCTCTTAAAAATTTTATCTGCAAGGTCATCTGCTGCTGTTTTCTGCCTGAGTCAGAAAGCAGCCACTTTAACTTTTCTTCCTGCTTGGTAAAGGATCTCTCTGTGAAAACAGGTGTTTGGGTGTGGCCTGTGTCTAATCAGGGTGAGAAGGAGCCCCTGTGGGGGGTGGGGAGCTGGGCACACAGAACTACCAAAGCCCCCGAAAGGTAACACCCCTCTTCCGTCCTAACAGCCTTCCTATGGTGTGGGAGAAACGGAAGCAGTGTGCCAACCCACATGCCCTGCTAATTCTCTTTCTTTCTCATCTTTATTATATCTTGACTTATGCAATCTCAGCTAGACAGAGCCAATAAAGTGCCTGTAAGGATTCTGTCCTTAATTATGTCACCATCCTGTGACGGCGTCCCAGCCTAAAATGCGGGTGGGCCCTCTGTGCGTCCCTATCTTTCCGCTCCTTCCTTCCGTCTGCCCCCCCTCCCTCTCCCTCTCCCTCTCCCTCCCTCTCCTTCTCTCTCTCTCTCTCTCTCTCTCCTCTCTCTCTCTCTCTCTCTCTCTCTCTCTCTCTCTCTCTCTCTCTCTCTCTTTCTCTCTCTCTCTCTCTCTCTCTCTCTCTCTCCCTCTCTCTCTCTCCTCTCTCGCTCTCCCTCTCTCTCCCTTTCTCTCTCCCCCCCACCAATAAAGCTCTAAAAAGGTAACCATGGCTCGTGACTCTCCTCCAGCACTCTCCTCCACCTGCATGGCCGCCACAGGCGCCGAGCCACGAGCATGCCATTTAACCAACAGTACCACCCTGCAAGCACCAGTCTGTCTGGGGTGGGAAAAAACCTGCAGTTTCCAAAAGTGTTTTCTCAACTTGGGATCTGACTCTGGGAAAGAATGATATTTAAAAGAGTCCACAAAGAAAAACAGACAGTTGACTAAGAGAAACCAGCGATGCCAGCAAAGGGAAGCTTCAGTCTTGGCTGCCAGGACATGTCATCTGTTTGCACAGCTTCACCCGAGTTCTAGAGTGACATGTGAGCAGCGGACCCTCAGGAGACATGGCTCTCTCTTATTGTTTGTTTCCTTTTTTTGGTTTTTCTAAACAGGTTTTCTCTTTGTAGCCCTGGATGTCCTAGAACTTGCTTTGTAGACGAGAATGGCCTCGAACTCACAGAAATCCACCTGTTTCTGCCTCCCAAGTGCTGGGATTAAAGCCTGGGCCACCACTGCCTGGCTCAGTTATTTTCTTAACATTTGTTTTATTTGTGTTTGCGTATGGGAAAAGTTCAAAGAAAAACTTTTTGGAAGTCGGTTTTCTCCTTCAAGGTCGTCCATGACTTTCTGGGCTTCATGATAAACTGTTTCAAAAATACAACCAAGGGACTAGAGACGTGGCTCCAAAGTTAAGAGCTTTGGCTACTCTGGTAAAAGTTCAGTTCCCCAGCACATGGTTCCCAGAACTCCAATTCCAGAGGATCCAGCGCCCTCTTCTGGCTTCTTTCGGCATTATATGCATACGATGCACTTACAAACATTCAGGCAAAACACTCATACACATAAAATAAATACAAATAAACAAATTTTTAAAGACTAATTTAAAACCTGAAATTGAAATTAGAAACTGGTTGGTAGGAACGTAAAACAGAGCCCCACCCTCCAACCGAAAGGGTGCAACGGCTCTTCTGAACGCTAGGTGGCAATCGCAAGGCTCTCCCCAAAGCGCCCGGAGGAGACGCATGCGCACTGCTCCTCGGCTTCGCCGTTGGAGCTACGCCTGCGCAGGTGGCGGTGCGCGCGCCGTTTGCCCGTGCGCACTGCGCTCGGGTACGCGCCCTCGCGTGCACGCCCCGCGCCTCGCCGTCCCGTTATTCCCGGGTCTCCGCGAGCAGCCGTGCCGACCCTGCGGTCCGACATGTCCCAGCTGCCCGCAGTCAGCAGCGTCCCGCAGACGGGCGCGGCGAGCGGCGACCGCGGGCTCCCGCAGGCCGAGGTAGGCGGCGGGCGGCGTGCGCTCCCGGGCCCGGCGCGACCTGAGGAGATCCGGGGAGGCCCGATGGCGGCGGCCCGGGAAGGCCCCGCAGCCCCGGGGGCGGCGGCCAGGGGAGGCCGGGTGGCTGCAGCCCGAGAAGGCCGGGTGGCGGAGGCCCGGGGAGGCCCCGCGGCGGCGGCCCGTGGTGGCGCGGCGGCCCGCGAAGGCCCGATGGCGGCGGCGTCCAGGGAAGCCCGGATGGCGGAGGTGGCCCGGCTGCTGGGCGAGCCGCTGGAGGAGGAGGCGCCCGAGGGCAGGCCCCGGTCCAGGGCGGGCGGCCTGGCGGCGATGCCGTACCTGCGCCTCCGCCACCCGCTCAGCGTCTTGGGCATCAATTACCAGCAGTTCCTGCGCCACTACCTGGAGAACTATCCGATCGCCCCGGGCAGGATCCAGGAGCTGGAGGAGCGCCGGAGGCGCTTCGTGGAGGCCTGCAGAGCCAGGGAGGCAGCCTTCGACATAGAGTACCTACGCAACCCCCAGAGGGTGGATTTTGACATTTTAACGTTTACCATAGCCCTGACTGCGTCGGAAGTGATCAATCCTCTCATAGAAGAACTGGGCTGCGATAAGTTCATCCACAGAGAGTAAGGAGTCAGGCGAGGGTGGACACGGCACCGAGACCTCGGCATTCAAGTCAAACCCCATCCTGCAACTTGGTTTTCGAAAGTCAAAAGGATCTTGAGAATAAGGCAGTGCATCGTTGGAAGAGGAAAAACGTCAGAAAATTTGGGGGGGGGGGGAATGTCCAAAACATCGTTAGACTCCTGTAACGTTTCTTGAGTTTATGATTGATTGGGATTTCTTGTGTCCACGTGGCTTCGTTAATGCGCAAAGGATGGTTTTGTAAAATTTTGAGACTTAAAATTGCCAGTAGTAGAGCCCACGATGAAGAAGGATCAGCGTGGAGAGTTAAAACTGGATTTAGGACGAAGTTTGTGTCAAGCACTTGACTTTTTGCAGAACACGCCTTCTCTTCGTGTCAGAGTCAACGAGAGTGTAGCGTGTAAGACTGACTTTGTGTTTCTGAGACGTTGAGAATGGCAAGCAACATAAATATTGTATATAGTATGTGATAAATGGTGTTTCCAAACATACCAAATTTCTGCGATTTTGTTTTTCATATTCCAAAGGTTTTTCTTTTTTGTTTCTCTTTTTTAGTAAGCCATCTATTCATAAGCCCCGAGAATATGAAGGACTGACCTCTCTGTCCTTCTCTCCTTGTCCCTGTACCTAGCGCAGCCTCTGAAGTCAGTCTCCTTCCTAATTTCATTACGTATACACTTTATTTATTTGTTTATTTATTCACAAAGTGGACATTCTTTGGTTTACATATTGTGATTTCATTAAGAAAATATCTTGAAGAACCTTCCCGACCAGTATATTTATTCCTTAGAGCTATACTTTTTGCATTCTGTGGTTATGCTGTAATGAACCAGAAATATTCTGATGGACGGTTCAGCTATCCCATCGCTTTCTCCTGGCAGTATAAAAGCCTCCTCTAGGAGATTGTCTCCTGTGCATATCACCTGGCTGTGCTTTGGTTCTGAACACATTCTTCATGTTTACTATCTCAAGTTGGAATGCATCTTACACTTGATGGTGTTATATACCACTTTTTTTTTCAAGTTTCCATAAAATTGATGATGCATCTGATTAGCTCCTTAGGCTTTTTGTCCTTGGTAGTATCTGTAGTCTGATTTCTAGAAGTGACATTCTTGGGCCAAAAGTTTGCCTTGGTAACTTTACAGATATGGCTGATTGGCCTCTTTACACTCCCACCAGTGACTGGTAAATGGGTATTTTCCAATTTCGTAGCCAATATGCTCAACCGTCAGATGTATAGTGCTCACCAGCCTGGTGGCAGAAAAAAGGTATATCAGTTTTAAGGTTTTTAATATAAGTTATCTTTTCATTTAAGAATGAAAAGGGACTTGAAAATTTTTCAGTAATAGCACACTTGCCTAGACTAGCCTAGTGAGAGCACACTAGCCCCAATGAAGGGTTGTGGGTGTGGCTCAGTGGTAGAGCACTTCCCTAGACTCCTCCAGTGAGAGACTGGGGTGTGACTCAGTGGTAGAGCCCCTGCCTAGAATCCCCCAGTGAGGGGCTGGGGTGTGGCTCAGTGGTAGAGCCCCTGCCTAGAATCCCCCAGTGAGGGGTTGGGGGTGTGGCTCAGTGGTAGAGCCCCTGCCTAGAATCCCCCAGTGAGGGGTTGGGGGTGTGGCTCAGTGGTAGAGCCCCTGCCTAGAATCCCCCAGTGAGGGGTTGGGGGTGTGGCTCAGTGGTAGAGCCCCTGCCTAGAATCCCCCAGTGAGGGGTTGGGGGTGTGACTCAGTGGTAGAGCCCCTGCCTAGAATCCCCCAGTGAGGGGTTGGGGGTGTGGCTCAGTGGTAGAGCAACTACCTGGCACACATAAGTAAGTCTCTGGGTCTGGTCCCTAGCACCACAAAAATCTAACTTATTTTCCTCTCTCATGACCATCTACATTCTCTTTTGTTTTTGTTTTGTTGTTTTTCCAGACAGGGTTTCTCTGTGTAGCACTAACTGTCCTGGTACTCACTGTAGATGGGGCTGGCCTCGAACTCTGAGATCTGCCTGCCTCTGCCTCATGAGTGCTGGGATTAAAGGTGTGCACCACCACCACCCCACTGACTGTCCACTTTCTATACCCATTTCTCCCCTCAATAACTTCTTGAATGACTGTAGTTGCTGACTACGTATTACTGGCATTAGGTATGACAGTTTCTGACAATTACAAATATATTTTTCCAATTATTTGGCTGACTTTTCTGAAAGATTTTATTTTTATCCTTGGTGTGGGTTTAGGGGATCAAACTCAGGTCACCAAGCTTGTGTGGTACCCACAGGGTCAACACACCTGCCTGGATTGTTTATCCTGTTTTCCCTAAATTGTGCAAGATTTTGAATCCCAGAGTTTCTTTGGTGCATGTGAGAGATTTCATTTTTTTATCTTGGACCATTTGGGATTTATTCAGAGGAGTAATAATAGTAGGAGGTAAGGATCCACTTTTCACGTAGCAAACAAGCTTTTCTAGGGAGCTCTACATTTTCTGATGTTGAACCCACTCATGCTTTCTCGTAGAGTTTCTGGTTATTTTTGCACATGTTTACTTTGAGGAGGAGCATTGAAACAGGGTTTCTCTGGCTGTCCTGGAATTCACTCTGTAGCCCAGGCTGGCCTCAAATTCAGAGATCCTCCTGCCTCTGCCTCCCAAGTGCTGAGATTAAAGGTGTGCCCCATCACATCCAGCATTATTACTATTATACATTACTATTATTACTACTGTATTACTATTATATATTACTATTATTTCAAATATATTAGTATCATATTACATATAACCCAGAGATAATTGCTATCTTTAAGATGCTGAGTCTTTTACTTTAAAATTTTTATTTATCTTTAATGTATGAACTGTTGCCTGCATTTATGTGTGTGCACCGGGTGTGTGCAGTGCCTCAGAAGGCCAGAAGAGGACACTGGATTCTTTGGAAGTAGAATTATAGAGGGTTATCAGCCACCATGTGGGTGTTAGAAACCAAACCCAGGTCCTCTGCAAGAGCAGCAAGTGCTCTCAACCTCTGAGCCATCTCTCCAGCCACTGAATCTTTCTTTTGAGATGTGTTTTGTCATGTTTGGTTTAAGACAGTCTCACTTTTAACTCATGCTGGCCTGAAATGTAAAGACTTACATGTCTAAGTCTTCCAAATGCTGGGGTTACAGGTATGAACAACCTCACCTAGTAAGGTAGGAATCTTGTAGCCAGGTGGTGGTGACACAGTCCTTTAATCCCAGCAGAGGCAGGTGGATCTCTGAGTCTGGTCTAGAGTGAGTTCAGGACAGCCAGGGCTACACAGAAAAATCTTGTCTTAAAAAAAATAATAATAAAATAAATAAATAAATAAATAAAAAGATACTGAACTCTTCCTATCCAAATAAGCTGTTTTCACACTTTTTTTTTCTTTTTAATTTCTTTTTTGTTTTTTTGAGACAGTGTAGCCCCTGGCTGTCCCTGAACTCACTAAGTAGACCAGGCTGGCCTCCAACTCAGAGATTCTGTCTCTGCCTCTGGAGTGCCGGGATTAAAGGCGTGCGCTACCACACCCAGCTGTTTTCATAGTTTTTAAAGACTTCCTAAACCAAGTGGTGGTGGCTCATACCCCTAATCCCAGAACCTGGGAGGGTGAGTCCGAAGAATCCCAAGAGGTTTGAAGGCAGCTTAGGTGAATATCCTGGCTCAAAAAAATTAGGGCTGGGAGTCAGTCAGCACGGCCTGTAAGATGCTTGTTTCGTGAAAACGATGACCCAGGTTTGTCCCCAACACCCACATGAGGTGACGCATGCTTGTAGTCCCAGCACTGGTGATGGAGAGAGGGTTCCTGAGGTTTGCTGATGAGCCTGCAGCCCTGGGTCCCAGTGAGAGGCCTGTCTCAGAAAACAAGGTAGAATTCTGTCACAAAGAACAGTGGAGGTTGGTCTCGCCTCCGCGTGCACACACACATTTTTACAAACTTCTCTGTACCTGAAGTTGAGTATAAATGTTTATTTGGAGAGCACTAATATTGTTAAATGAATTTACCTAAAATTAGTCTTTCACGGGTCTAGACATTTATTCTTAGACATTTTATCTTTTGTCTGCATGTATGTCTGTATACTTGAATCCCTGGTGCTGAAGGAGGCCAGAAGAGGACATCCAATCCCCTGGAGCTGGAGTTACAGATGGCTGTGAGCTATGGTGGGTACTGGGAATCGAACCTGGGTCCTGTGGAAGAGCAGCCAGTGCTCTTAACCACTGAGGTTATTCCTGTTAAGTATTCTGAAAGCCTCTGTAGCTCTTGAAAATGATTAGTTTCTGCTCATTTCTCAGATAGCCTGTCAATGTACTCAATTATGTTACTGTGTGTACTTGTTCAAATGATTCTCATGGTTTTGAGTGTATGTGTCTTGGTGTGTGGTGTACACGCACATGTCCACTGCACACATGCAGAGGCCAGAGCAGGATGTCAGGTGTCCTCTGTCACTTGCCCTGAGATAGTCTCACTGAACCTGGAGCCAGGCCGGTGGCCTCCTCCCCTCTCTACCTCCCACAGTGGTAAAGTTATAGACACGTGACCATGCTCAGCTTTTTACATGGATGCCCTCAGGGTTGCACAGTGTGATGGCCAATCTTGATTGTCAACTTGAATTACCTGGAGAGAGGGGCCTCAGCTGAGGAATTACCTCTAGCATATTGGCCTATCGGTAAGTCTATGAGTCATTTTCTTCGCCCAGCCCACCGTGAGCACTGTCATCTCTAGGAAAAGTAGGTGAACAAGCCAGAAGACAAAGGCAGTGAGCAGTATTCCTCCATGGCCTCTGCTTCAGTTCCTGCCTCCAGAGTCCTGCCTTGAGTCCCTCCCTGACTTCCCCCAGTGATGGACTGTGACCTCAGAGTTATAAACTGAAATAAACCCTTTCTTCCCAAGTTTGTTTTGGTCAGTGTTTTATCACATCAACTAAAACACAGTAAGTGCTCTCACCCCTGAGCCGTGTCTCTGGCCCTCTGACATCCCTTTATTGGCTCCTTGGCCACTGCATTCTGTGTAATGTGGGTGATCATGATTTGTGAAAACTCTTTCCATAGCCATCTATTCATCCCCCCCTCCTCGTGTGTGTGTGTGTGTGTGTGTGTGTGTGTGTGTGTGTGTGTGTGTGTGAGAGAGAGAGAGAGAGAGAGAATGGATGTTGGGCCGGGCAGTGGTGGCGCACGCCTTTAATCCCAGCACCTTTAATCCCTGTCGGGAGGCAGAGCCAGGCGGATCTCTGTGAGTTAGAGGCCATCCTGGGCTGCAGAGTGAGTTCCAGGACAGGCTCCAAAGCTACACAGAGAAACCCTGTCAAAAAAAAAAAAAAGAGTGGATGTTGGAGGGAATTGGAGAGATGGCTCAATGATTAAGAGCATTGGTTTCTCTTGCAGAGGACACAGGTTTAGTTCCTAGCACCTACGTGGCAGCCCACAATCACAAACGTCAGTAGCTCCGGGTTCAGGGGATCTGACATCCTATTCTGTCCTGCACAGGCATCAGGCACGCATGTAGTGCACATACATGCATGCAGGCAAAACACTCGCACACATAACCCGAAAAAGAAAAGAATGACTGCCGGGCTGGGGAGATGACTCGGCTGGTAGGAGCACTTGCTGCCCAGGCATGACCAGAAGAGTTGGGTCCCAGCACCCGTGTGGTTCAGCTCATGACCACCTCTAATTCCAGCTCCAAGGGATCCAGTCCTCTTCTGGCCTCCAAGGTCACACTCTCAGTACATACACATTCACACAGAAACACAAAAGCACACACATCTAAATCAAAGATAACATCCGTTTTTTAAAAGAAAGGTGGTTGGACTTTGTCAAGGGCCTCTTCTTCAGGCTGAACTTAGCATACACCTGTAATCCCAGCACAGGGGAGACAGAGGCAGGAAGATGCTAAATTGGAGGCCAACTTGTGCTATGTAGCAAGACCCTGTCACAAAACCCAGAATCTGCAGGGTGTTGGTGATGCACGCCTTTATTCCCAGCATTCAGGAGGCAGAGGCAGGCAGATCTCTGTGAGTTCATGAGTTCGAGGCCAGCCTGGTCTACAAAGGGAGTTCCAGAACAGTGAGGACTACACAGAGAAACCCTGTCTCAGAACAAAAGCAAAGCAGATCCACCATGATGAATTGTGAAATCATGTCAAGAAGTAATACTGCATGAGCTTTGTATTTTTCAAATTTACTAACAAGTGTGTGTGTGTGTGTGTGTGTGTGTGTGTGTGTGTGAGAGAGAGAGAGAGAGAGAGAGAGAGAGAGAGAGAGAGAGAGAGAGAGAGAGAGAGATGGGGTCTCACTGTGTAGCCATGGCTGGCCTGGAACTCAGAGTTCCTCCTGCCTCAGCCTCCTGAGTGCTGACTGAACCCAGAGCATCACCACTGAGCTATGCTTGCAGTGTGTGTGCACATGCCACAGGATGCAGAGAGGGTCAGAGGACAACTTGCAGGAGTTGACTTTCCTTCTGCCATGTGGGTCCCAGGGTCATAACCCAAACATCATCGCCCTTGCCTACTGAGGTGTCCCCGGCCCCCGACCTACTTTTATTTGAGACAGGGTCTTACTAAGTCGCCCAGACTGGCCTTGAACTCAACTCGGCAGCCCAAGCTGGCCTTGAACTTTGTCTTCCTGCCCCAGGCACCGAAATGGCTACAGTTACAAGCTTGAGCCAACAGGCTCAGCTGCTACCGTGTTGACAGGTTGGTGACACGTGGACTCTGGATTCATCAAAGGCACAAGAAGGCAGGTACAGCGTTTATTAATGACCACGGTACAGCTGCATTGCAGACAGAACTGGGCCAAAGGTGATGTCGTGCAAATGGCCCTCGCATACTTCAGACAGGTTTTCACACAGCTGGGGCTGGCCTAAAACTTGCCATGTAGCCAAGGATGGCTTTGCTCTCAACTTCCTGCCTCCACCTCCCAAATCCAGGGATTGCAGGTCTGCTCCACCCGAGACAGCTCTCTTGTGTGTCTTTTAGATGACTGATTGGCAGTTGCAACCAAGGGAGAGCTCCAAGACAACAGTGTATTTCACTCAGTTAACTGAAGTACCGCTGAATGGTGTAGAGGCCACATGGAAGTTCCAAGGGAAATGGCTACAAGACCCGTGAGGGGAGCGGAAAATAAAGGCCTTTCCCGAGAAAATATGCCAGCAAGATGGATCCCAGGGTAGAGGTGCTTGCTACCAAACCTGACAACCTGAGTGCAATTCCACATGGTAGGACAGAACTGACTCCTGAAAGTCATGTTCTGATCTCCATATATACATGCCATAGCTTGCACATGTGTGCACACACAAAATTAAAACCAATGTGGTGCAGGCCACAGAAATGGCACAGTCGGTAAAGGACTTACCAAGCAAGACTAGCAACCTGAGTTCAGTACCCGGAACCCACATGAGGATGGAAAGTTGACCTTGACCTCCACAGACACCCAGTTCCATCTTACACATATGAATAGAACAGGCTGTAGGAAGTCTGCACTATTTCTTGCAGAGGACCTGGTTCAATTCCCAGCACCTGTGTGGTGAGTCATAACTACCTTGTAACTCCAGTTCCAGGGGATCAGATGCCCTCTTCTGACCTCCGCGGAACCCAGGCAAACATATGGTGTGCATATACAGATATGTGACAAAATACCCATACACATCTTTTTAAAAATGAGAAATTAGCCAGGCGTGGTGGCACACGCCTTTAATTCTAGCTCTCTGGAGACAGAAGGAGGCAGATCTCTGAGCATGTATATGAGTCCCAGGCCAGCCAAGGCTACATAGTGAGACGCTATCTCAAACAAAACAATATAATAATAATAATAAATAATAATAGTAGTAGTAGTAGTAGTAATAATAAGTATGTGACGGAACCCCTTAGTTCAGAGCTGGAGGCGGCCACGGTGGTAATGGCACACGGCACCGCTAGAGGGCAATAGACGTCCGCGCACGGTGCTTGCGCATGCACTCCGTTTTCCAGCGCGCCGAGGCCCGCGCATGCGCACAGCTTCCCTGCCGATGGAGCCGGTGCCCAGCGCTCCTCAGCTCAGCGCTCTCTGGTGACCTAAGGGACTCAACAGTCGGCGATGTCCGAGCTGCCGGGAGAGAGCAGGGTCCCCAACCTGAGCCCCATGAATGGCATCGGCGACGTCCTGCAGGGGGGAGTGGGCGGAGGCAGTTGGATCCCCGAGGCCCAGGAAGGCCCGCTGGCCGGAGCCGCCCGGCCCATGGTGCGAGCCCCAGGCCCGTTTCCCAGGCGACTCCCCGGCATGGCGGGCCTGATGGCCATGCCGCACGTCCACCCGCCGCTCCGCCTTCTAGAGCTGCACGAGCAGCGGATGTTCCAACACTACCTGCACACCAACCCCCTGATCCCCACCAGGCTGCTCCGTGACATCGAGGAGCGCCGCCGGCTGTTCGTGGAGGGCTGCAAGGCCAGGGAGGCGGCCTTCGACGCCAACCCCCCGCAGATGGACTCGGACGCCCGCGCCTTCACGCTGGCGCTCACCGCCTCCGACGCCCGCGGCCCCACCGCCGACTGAGTGGTGGCCGTCGCCTATAACCCCAGCCCTCAGGAGGGAGGAGGCTGGAGGATCGGGAATTCAAGGTCATCCTCGGCTGTGTAGCGAGTTGGAGGCCAGCCAGGGCTACAGGAGACTCTGTCTTTAAAAAATAAAAATAAAGATTGGTGGCCAGGAAGTCAGGTGACTCTTAGGATCAAAGGCAGAAGTCTGGGCAGATGTCATGAGGTGGGAAATCCAAGCAGAGTACAGCCATGGGCAGGGTGGAATGAAGCAGGACCAGAAAGAGGTGGACACTCGAGGCTTGAAGCTGGCTGGCAAAGAGGACCCTTCTGATCTTTTTTCCCTTCCTGCATTTGTGGAAATTCAAGGTTGCTTCACCACTGTAAAGGACGATGGTTTTGCAAAGATGAAGTCTAAGAATTACCAATGGGGGAAAAAATAGAAATCGACCGAGATACAGGGAGAAACCAGGGAGATTGGTTCTTAGATACAGTTGCTCCTGAGTTTTCCTGGCATCAGAAGGCTGTTGAGACAACTTGGACATTTCAGAACCGAGGGGCTATCTCATTGTCAGCTGACAATCTCAATGTGCCGTTAATTCTTGTGTTGGATGTTCTGTAGACAAGTTGTAAATATTCAGATAGGGAAAATTATGTGTTTGTGAGATGACTATTTCCCAAGACCATGTGTAATTGTATCTATATGGTAATAGATTTAATATTTAAATGATAGGTGTACAGTCACAAGACTCAAAAGCAGCAAAAGATGCTATGGGAAGTTAAACTTTTCTCTCTGCCAAACTGAAAACTGTCTGAGCAAGCATCCATAGTGATTTGGGGTTGGGGTGGGGAGGTTGATTGTTTTCTGTAGGGTTTTCAAAACGGTTTTTTGTTTTTGTTTTTGTTTTTTTTTTTGTTTTTTTTGTTTTTTTGGAGCTGAGGATCAAACCCAGGGCCTTGTGCTTGCTAGGTAAGCGCTCTACCACTGAGCTAAATCCCCAACCCCAAAACCGTTTTCTAATGCATGTGAGTTGAGACCAGTCCAGTTCTCCCCCAATCCTGGGTGCTAACAATGGAACCCAGAGCCTTACACATGCTACCCCTGCTCTACAGCGACATTCCCAGTCCTTTTGAATCAAGATAGGGCTGGCAACATGGCTCAGTGGTTAGAGGTGTTTGCTGCTGAGCCTTATTACTGAATTTGATCCCGGGACCCACGTGGTGGAAGGTGAACCCACTCCTATTTCTTCTGATTACCATTCATGTGCACACACATGCAATGTTTAAAAAAAATCGTGATAGTAGGTACCTGTATCGACATCTTGGGTTTTTATATTTTCAATAATATTGGAAGTAATTCTATATTGGTTTTTTTATGACTACTATTTAAGGCTGTATCAACATATTTAATGAACTAGTTGTCTTCTGGACATCTGAATTGTTTGAAAATGTTTTTTTTTCTTTTTGTTGTTTTAAAGATGTGTGAGAGAGCCTGCATGAGTACCTGTGTACTGTGTGGGTGCAAGAGACTGAGGGGGCCCAAAGAAGGCATGGGATCCCCAGAACTAGATTTACAGGCAACTGGGAGCCCCCATGTGGGTGCTGGGAACTCAACCCACTCCACAGAGCCATCTCTCCAGTCTCCATTTTTTGTTTGTTGGAAACAGGGTCTCTCTATGTAGTTCTGGCTGGCCTAGAACTTCTATGTGGTAAAGCAGGTTGGCCTTGAACTCACAAAAATCCTCCTGCCTCTGCCTCATGCCTCGCTTTTGTGTGTGTATGGTTTTTGTTTTGGTTTTTTTGAGAAGGGGTTTCACAGAACTGAGGCTGATCATGAACTCCTGATCCATCTCCCAGGTTCTGGGACTAAGGGTGTGTGCCACTGTGCCTAGCAGTTTTTTGTTTTTTGTTTGTTTGGTTGGTTGGTTTGGTTTTTTGAGACAGGGTTTCTCTGTGTAGTTTTGGTGCCTGTCCTGGATCTCGCTCTGTAGACCAGGCTGGCCTTGAACTCACAGAGATCCGCCTGGCTCTGTGTCCCGAGTGCTGGGATTAAAGGTGTGCGCCACCGCCGCCTGGCATACATTGTGTCTGTAATGTTCTGTGCATGTGTGTGCTTGCTCTTTTCATAGAGAAAACTTATGAATGAATGGAAGCAGTTAAAGGGCAAAGTGGTGGTGTTTTCATAGGTGATCCCAGCCTCTCTGGGCCTCTGTGTACCTCATCCACCCAGGAACTCTTTCTCTATACCTTTCTCTATACCCAGCCCCGTCCTTCAGACTCTGCGTTAGGAAAAACTAACATCGAAAATGCACTTGGCCCTGCCAGTTAATGTTTGCATCTCTCCACTAACTGCAGGTGGGGGAGGGCTGTTTTCAATATGGGAGAGCCATTTGGTTTCAGTTTTCGATGAACCACCAGTCCATAGCCTTTATTCACCAAATCTACATAAAAGTCACCAAAGAGTTAGTCCTAGATGGGTGTGATGGCTTGGCAGGTTGAGATGCCAAGGTCCAGCTGTGGTGGCACACACATTCAGGACACAGCAGCAAGCAGATCCCTGTGAGTTTGAGGCCAGCCTGATCTACATAAGTTCCAGGACAGCCAGGGCTACATAGTGAGACCCTCAAACAATAAAAAGGTCTAAGCTGAGACCAGCCTGGGCAATTTGTCTGGCAGGATTGCTCAGTGGGTAAAGGGCTTGCCAGGAAGCCTGGTGATCCCTGGAACCATATGAAGCTGAAAGGACAGACCTCTCCAAAGGTGTCTTCTGACCTCCACATGGGCCATTCCCACACAAATCTTTACAAGTTACCTCTTTCAGCACAAGATGGATGCTTTCTCATTGTCGACTACATTGATCCTTCTGCCCGGCAGCCAAGTGTTTATGGCTGCACATGCTCAACCTTTCTTCCTTTATGGTTTCCAGACTGACCCATAATTGCATTGCCATATGTGGCCAAGTATAGTTGGCACCTGTGATCCCAGCACTCAAAGCTGGGACAGGATGGCTGAGTTTAAGGCTACCCTGGCACCACATTGTGAGACTGTCAAAAAACCAAAACAAACAAACACCACTGTGAATGATGAACGCAGACTGGCTGGAGTGCTGGCATCGCTCTCCTATCACCTGGGACATCTCTGACTCTCGGAGTACCCTTCCCCTGTCTCTTCCTTTTCTCTTTGGTTTCCAAGACAGGGTCTCTCTGTGTAACAGCCCTGGCTGTCCTGGATCTTGCTCTGTACACCAAGCTGGCCTGGGACTCACAGAGATCCACGTGCCTCTGCCTCCCGAGTGCTGGGATTAAAGGCGTGCGCCACCACTGCCCGGCACACTTCAACGCTTAACTATGCGATGGAAAGTTTTCCAAACATGTCTTAAATTAGGCTGTTGGAAATGAAGCCATGACAAAAGTAACCAACTGGCTTTGCCAGTATGAGGAGTTAAGGCTGGACCGCCAGGAACAACTGGTCTAGCCTTACACACCAAGGATACTGCAGATTAGTCAGATTCCCATCACTGTCATGAAATGCTTAAGACAGTCAGCTCACAAGGGGGAAAGGTTAATTCTGGTCACAGTTTCAAAGGCCTCAGTCCATAGCATGGCCCTTTGCCTTGGCCCTGTGGTGACATGGTGCATCGCAGCTCACCTCATGGTGGCAATAAAGCAAGGAGAGAAAGGAAAGGTCGGGGTCCTGATCCCCCCAATAGCCCCTTCTGGAACACCCATCCAATGACCTAACTTCCTCCCACTAGGCCTCGCCTCCCAATGTCTCCACCACCTCCCAAAAGCAGCCCAGCCTGGGGACCAAGCCTTCAGCATGTGAGTCCTTAAGGATAGCGTGTGGCCCTTCCCCATCCTTCCTCCCACACTCTGTTGTGACCAGATGCTGAGAGCACGGCGGTGGGTGACTGCCGCAGACCCCAGGTGTGAGTGTGGTGACAGCGGACACTGTCAGAGGCCAACACAGGGAAACAGATTATATTTTCTTTACTTTCCCAACCCCACCGGAGCCCCAGCCACCATCAGAAAAGGACCTGGTTTGGCAGCATTTCAGCCCTTCTCGTCATTCCGCTGAGGTTCCTGAGGCAGGGAGAGAAACAAAACATCAACAGTTCCCCATACAGACATTAGTGTTTCTGCAGAGCTTAGTGTTCTAAGGCAGTCCGTGGATCATATTACTGAGTCCATATATGTGTGTGTGTGTGTGTGTATACATATTCTATACATTCCATATTTTTCATATATATTCCATACATAGCATATATATGTATATAGTCAAGGATGAACTCAAGTCCCTGAACCTCCTGCCTCCACCTCCCAAGCACTGGAATCACAAGTGTGCACCATCTTATATAGTGCTGGGGGTCAAATCCATGGCGCACTAGGCAAGCAGTCTACTGGTGTGCTATATCCTAAGCCCTTTTGTGGTTGGCGTGTGTGGTACATATGTAGTTGTATGGATGGAGGCATGTGTTGTGTGCCTGTGCACATACATGTAAAGACCAGAGGCAAATGTCAAATATCTTTTATCTCGCTTCACCTTATTTTTTTTAGATTTACTTCTTTTTGTTTTATACATATGAGTGTTTGCTGGCACGTGTGTCTGTGTACCCTGTGCGTGTCAGGTCCCCTGGAACTGGAGTTACAGATGTTGTGAGTCATCATGTGGGGAACAAATTGGATCCTTTGCAAGGGCAACACAGTGCTCTTAGCCCCTGAGACATCTCCCAGCCCCTCCCCCGAATTTTGACACAGCATCCCAAACTCAGGTTTCAGCTTGAATGGCTTAGGAGTGAGATCCTGGGATTCACAATGTCTCTGCCCCAAACACAGGAACACGTGGCCATGGCCAGCTTGATACCTGAGTGCTGGAGAGTTGAACTCAGACCCCTTGCTTTCCCAGGCAGTGCTCTTACTCACTAAGCCAACTCCATAGTCCTTCCCCCTTTATGGTTTCTTGAGAAATGCTCTATGGAACTCTCTTGGAGCCCATGTTGGCCTCAAACTCCTAGTGACCTTCCTTCTGCCTCAGTTTACCCACTGCTGGGATTACAAACTTGAGCCACCATGCCCAGCTGTTAAAAAAAAACATTGAGACCCTTGACTGGATATTAGATGGTAGGAAGTGCTGTAGAATGTTGTTTTAACATTATTACTTTTACTGTGTGAAGGTGTGTTACTTCTGTGCTTGTTTATTTGTAGTATATGTTTAACTATGTAAAGATGAGTTGCATTTGTTTCACCTTGCCTGCCTAAGGCACCTGATTGGTCTGATAAAAAGCTGAACAGCCAATAGCCAGGCAGAGAAAGGATGGGCAGGGCTGGGGGGCAGAGAGAATAAATAGTCTCAGGAGAGGAACAAGAGAAGGAAGAGGAAAGAACGAGAGAGATGCCTAGGGCCAGAGGCCAGGCAGCCGCCAGCCAGCTAGACACCAGAAGCAGTGAAAGGAAGATATACAGAAGTGAGAAATGTAATAACCCCCGAGGCAAAAGATAGATAAAGAAAAACTTAAGTTAAGTTAAAAGAGCTAGCCTAAGTGAGGCCGAGCATTCAAAACTAATAATAAGTCTCTGTCATGATTTGGGAGCCGGTTGGTGGCCCAAAAGAAAAAGCCTGGTACAATGAAGACATTCAGTCTTTTTTCAGGTGTCATAACGGCCTCATATTCCCATTTTTAAAACTTGTCCCTTAGAACCAAGTGGCAGCCTACACCTGCAATCCCAGCACGTAGGAGGCTAGGGCAAGATACTCTTGAGTTTTAGGCCAACCTGAAGTACTTATTAGCTCCCAGAGTTTAGAGACAAAAACTTTCAATATCAGGCTCAGAAGTAGAGTGCTTTCTTAGGATGCACCAGAGAAGAGCTGGGGGTGTGGCTCAGTGGTACAGCCCCTGCCTAGAATCCCCCAGTGAGGGGCTGGGGTGTGGCTCAGTGGTAGAGCCCCTGCCTAGAATCCCCCAGTGAGGGACTGGGGGTGTGCCTCAGTGGTAGAGCCCCTGCCTAGAATCCCCCAGTAAGGGGCTGGGGGTGTGGCTCAGTAATACAGCACCTGCCTAGAATCCCCCAGTGAGGTGCTGGGGCGTGGCTCAGTGGCAGAGCAACTGCTTATGAAGCCAAATTCCTGGAGTCCATCCCTTGCAAATCCAAGAAGAAAACCTAAGCATAAAGGGTATGTAAATGATTGCAGACATCTTTTAATATCTTAGAATAATGCTACTAATAGAATTAGAAGCTCTCTGGATTGATTTTGTGCTCTGTATCTACAATCCAATACAGATTAACCTAACCCTAGCCCAATACGCTAGCCCCATGCTGCTGTTGAGCAGTTGACATGTGGCTGGCTAACTAAAAACTGGATTTTTAATGCTTTAGCTTTGGTTACATCTTGTTGTTTGAAACAGGGCCTCTCTGTCTGTGCAGTCCACGATGGTCTCAATCCTCCTGCCTCAGCCTCCTGAGTGCTGTGGCTATCACACCCATCATAAATTTTAAAAGCGAGTGCACCACTCTACAACCAGAAGATAAGACAACATTCTTATGCTCTTCTGATAACCACAGGGCCCTAGTGACAGCCATGTCTTACCCATCACTCTGGGAGTCCTCGCCTGGAACTCTCTCAATGATCCCATTGACAAGCCAGGCTCAGTGTTGCTGGCCTGTCATCCAAACTAATGGAAAGCCGAGGCTGGAGGATTGCAAACCCAAGGTTAGCCTGGGTCATTTTAGGAGGAACCTATCTCAAAATAAGAAAGAAAAAAGGCTTTGGCTGCAGCTCCGTGGTGCAGTCCTCGCCTCACAGGTATGAGGCCCAGGTCAGACCTCAGCACTGCAGGGAGACAGGAGGAATGAGGCCAAGGGGGAGGGGGCATGTGGTTCAGTTGGCAGAATGCTTGCCTAGCATGCACAGGCTCTGGCTTCACTCCCCAACCTAATAAACTGGGAATGGTGGGCACACCTGTAATCCCCAGCAACTGGGAGGTAGAGGCATGTGGATCAGTAGCTTCGTAACATTTGAGGCCATCCTGAGCTAGGTGATAACCTGTCTCAAAAAAAAAAAAAACAAAAAAAAGAGTGTGTGTGTGAAGAGTTGAAGGGCTGGAGGGGGGAGCTCAGACCTGTAAGACCAACACTTAAGAGGCTGAGGCAAGAGGACGGCTGGGAGTTCGAAGGCAGCCTGGACTACACAATGGCCTCTAGGACAGCCTGGGCTATACAGTAAGACTGTCTCAAAAGGGGAGTGGGGGGGCAATAGTGCTCAGTGAGTATAGGTGCTTGTTGCCAAGTTTGGTGACATGAGTTCAATCCCCAGCTGCTACACTGTGATGACTCCCACATACATGCCTTGACATTCATGTGTGCCATCCCCTCAATGTAAAATGGAAATAAAAGATGTGATGTGCCGTGGTGTTAAGGATGAGGGTCGGCTGAGCTGGCGAAGGTGGCCCTGCCGCCGCGGCCGCGGCTCACTTACTTTCACACCGGCTCCTGGCCTTGCACTCCTCCTCACTCAGCTCCAGCTCCACTATTGCTGCTACCTTTTCTTGGTCTCCTCATCGATAATACCCATAAGTTTCTTCAGACTGGACTCATCCACAAACCCATCACCTTTCTGGGTACAGAGAAGAAAGAGTCCAGACATGATTCCAACCTCCCGGTACCCCAACCCTTCCCTCTGATCCTGTTCAACCCTCTTGCCCAGAATCACCTTCTTGGAATGAACCAGCTTCCCGTTCACAAACACTTCAAACTCTCCCGTTGCCTGGGAAGCCTTTTCCTCCTCCTGGCAAGGGAATGGTGTGGGTGGAGGAGGCTGAGAGCACTCCTCCAAACCCTCAGGGGTCTGGGAACCCTGACCACTCTTCCCCAGGGTACCAGCACACTTACAAACTCCAGAAGGTTTGGAAATTGATGCTCCAGGGTTTTTCTCAGAAGGATGTACTGAGAGGGAAGAGATGGAGTCATGGGGTCACAGGAGAGGAAACAGGGACCCCCTTCCAGTCTTCGCATCATATGCTCCCTTATATTCTGAAGAAGAAACGACTCACCCGAAGGCCATAGCTTCAGAGGCCACTGGAAGCAGAGGGAAGGAGGGGGAGGTGGAGAGAGATAAGAGAGACATCATAGCGGCAGTGAGCCTGAGTCAGACACCATCCCTGCCCTGCTTGGAGCACCCCTCACCCATGGTACCACCTCGAGGAAACCACCATCCTCCTCATAGTCCCTGAGTGGCTACAAAACTGTCCCCATCCTTCATCCCTTATCCCCACCTTGTCCAGCTACAGAACCCTTCTCATTGGTCGTTCAATAGCACACGCTGAGGTGGGCAGTTCCTCAGGGCCTCTGCACTAGTAGGAAGCTGCAGAATACTCTTCCCCCAGGATGTGCATGGCTCCCTTGCCTTCCTTCAAGTCACTTTCTCATGAGGCCTTCTTGACCCTCCTGGTAGAAACCATGACCCTCCCAGATGCCTTCCTGTGCATCCTTGCGGTGGCTTATTGCCTGCCCTCCACACTAGCATGTCAGAATCACAAGGGCAGGGGTCTCCATCTTCATTGCTCTGTGCCTGGTGTCACCTGATGAGTTTTTTTTAAAAAAATAGCCGGGCGGTGGTGACGCACGCCTTTAATCCCAGCACTCGGGAGGCAGAGCCAGGCGGATCTCTGTGAGTTCGAGGCCAGCCTGGGCTACCAAGTGAGTTCCAGGAAAAGGCGCAAAGCTACACAGAGAAACCCTGTCTCAAAAAACCAAAAAAAAAAAAAAAAAAAAAAAAAAAAGCTGTCGAGTCAGGTGTGGTAGTGCATACTTTAATCCGAGCACTTGAGAGGCAGAGGTGGAAGTATCTCTGGATTCAAAGCCAGCCTGGGTTACATAGAGAGACCTTGTCTGAGAAGAAGAGGAGGAGGAGGAGGAGGAGGAGGAGGAGGAGGAGGAGGAGGAGGAGGGAGAAAGAAGAAATGGGAAGAGAAGGGAGAGAGCGGGAGAGAACTAAACTTGGAAAGAGGAGAAAGAGACACCATGGGGTGGGAAGAGTGGCCTGGCATAGCCAGAGAAGGAAGAGCCAGCGTGAGACATGGACACAAGTCCTCCAGAGCAGGCATGGGGAAGACAGCCCTGACCCGGTCCTATTCAGCCCAGTCCCAGGTCACTGCTTAAGCCAGAGGCAGCACCTGAGGGCTGCATCCAGCCCCCCAGCTGTTTCCCAGCTGCCCCACTATTGCCTGGCCTGCTCAGGAGCCAAAGTAAGTGAGACGGCTCAGCAGACCATCTCCAACACCAGTGGACCAGTCAAGACCCTCGGGGTGGAGTGCAGGGAGGAATGGGAGTGGATTCCCAGTCCTAGGAATCAACAGATGAATCGTATGAATGAGAATGAATGGATGGATCAATGAATGAATGGATGGATGAATGGATCAATGAGAATGCAGTTTAGAGCCAGCAATCATGCAAATGTTGAACGAATGAAGGGGATGAATGAAGCTCACCGCCACTACCAATCATAGGAATGAATGAATGAACGAGTAAGTGTAAATGCATGCATGAAGTCAAGAGGCAGGACTCATGCAGATCAATGAATTATTCTGACTGCCAGGTGGGAAATGTCCATCAATGAATGGTCCTAAGAGTGAATGCAGCTCAGAGTCACTCATACAAATGTTTGAATAGGAGTGAATGGATGAAGCACAAAGCCAGTAAACATGCAAAAGAGAGTGAATGAATGAGTGAGAGAAGATCAAAGTCAGAAATCACGGGAGTTATGTGGGAGTGATTGAAAGAAGCTGAGAGCCAGGGTGGGGAACTCAACAAAGCTTTCTAACCTCAAATGGATCTGCCTCCCTATCTAGGGCACACCTGGGCCTGTTGACACATGCCCAGAGCCCCAGCGCCTGCCAGGTTCAGCTTTCACGGGTAGGGGGAGCCCCTCACCAGTATATCACACGAATCAAAATTCTGTTGGCCGGTGGGATGTTCTCGCTGGTCGAGGCGACCTCCTTGGTGCAGACGAAGCTGGGTGATGGGGAAAGTGGGGGGAGCCGACCCAGAGCAGGGGCCTCCTTTAGCTGGGTGGCGAAGAACTCTAGTACAGGGATGGCGTCCGGAGGGGGGCCCAATGTACTGGAGGCCATGGCATTGGAAGCCAAGGAGTCTAACTGAGGGGTGGAGTCCCGAGCGGAGGCCAGTGTCTTTGAGGCCGCAGCAGTGAGCACCGGAAGGGGACCCTGGATGGCCTCCGCTAGTCTGTGGGTCGAAGGTTCCTGCTTTTGAGCGAGCATGGGATCCTTTGAGACAGAGCTAGCACGCCTGGAAGAAGAGGGCTGAGCCACGGGTGAGGCCGAGCTCGGCAAGGACTCCGCCGGAGGGATCGTGGGAAAGACTCGGGCTACTTTCGGGGGCCGGACTGGTGCTGGGGTCCGGACCGGTGCTGGGGTCCGCACTGGTGCTGGGATCCGGACCGGTGCTGGGGTCCGCACTGGTGCTGGGGTCCGGACCGGTGCTGGGGTCCGGACCGGTGCTGGGGTCCGGACCGGTGCTGGGGGTGGGGGTGGGGCTGGGGTTGGGGGTGGGGCTGGAGCTGGGGCTGGGGCTGGGGTTGGGAACCGGACTGGAGGAGAGGTCGGGACCTGGGCAGGAGCCCGGACCGGGGTGGAGGTTTGGACCGGAGTCTGGTTGTGGGCCGGGGTCGAGACCCGGCCCCGGGTGGAAGTTCGGACCGGAGTCGGGTTGTGAGCCGGGACTGGGGTTCTGACCGAGGTCGCGGTTCGGATGGGAGTCGGTGTCGGGGATGGAGTGTTCGGCTGGGCCGGGGAGGGAGCGGGCGTCCGCGCCTGATTACTCATGGTGACCAAGTGAGACCCCGGTACCCCAGACTGAGCGCCCTGTCTTGCCCTGCTCCTTGGGCAGGGATAGAATTCGCACCCCAGGGTTCTAAAACGGAAGCAACCACAAACAGGCACTGTTACACGCTGGGTCCCAGTCAGGCGATTACAGGATGGCTCTAGGCCTAGGAGGCGGTGCTGCCTCCAGATCTCTCCGAATAGACCCCGCCCCTGCCCCATCCCCCTCCCCATCCCCAACACGGGAAGCAGAGCCTGCTGAGAGCTTCCCACCTCCACCGCTGACACTCCCGCTTTAGCCGGCTGCGATAGTTAAGTGTCCCCTTTGCGCTGGGGATTCCCGGCACGCGGCATCTCAGCCTGCCCTGCTTCCTGCCATTGGGAGGAGGCCACACCCAGGATCAGAGACTGACAGCCTAAAGCCGCCAGAGCAGGCAAGAAGGACACCAGGACCCTTATGATCCCAGAGGGGAGGCACGGGTCTGCAGGATGAGAGAGGACCTCTGAGAATAGGGTACAGCTACCAGATCCGGAGAAAAATAACGACAACCCACACAAACAGTGCAATTTACACAGAACCAGGAGCTGCCACGGCTCTCACACCAGACCAAATCGTGGGTGCCCGGGTCCTGTGGTTTCACCACTCTGAAAAGGGTCCCTGAAAGCTGTCAAAGGGAGAACCTGTATCCTCACGCTGTATCCCCAGCTCCTAGAACAAGACCTGGATCAATAAGTGCTTGTGGAACCTGAGTTGGTAAGATAAAAAGGGAAGGCTTTTTTTACTCTTTGGGGGCCTGCCACCGAGCTCCCAGATAAATACACAGAGACTTATTCCTATGAAGGCCCAGCCTTAGCTTGGCTTGTTTCTAGCCAGCTTTTCTAACTTAAATTATTCCGTTTTGCCTCTGGGCTTTTTACCTCTGTTTGTGTATCTTTTTTTCCTTCTTACTCCTTGGCTGGCTGTATGACTGGGGGGCTGGCCCCTGGTGTCCTCCTCGCCCCTTTTCTCACTCCTCCCTCTTCTCTAGAGTTTTCCTCCTATTTATTCTCTGTGCCTGGAAGCCCTGTCTATCCCTCTCCTGCTATTGGCTGTTCAGCTCTTTATTAGAGGAATCCGGTGTTTTAGACAGACATAGTAACAGTTTCAGAGTTAAACAAATGCAACATAAAAGAATGCAACACTGCCAGGCGGTGGTGGCCCACGCCTTTAATCCCAGCACTTGGGAGGCAGAGGCAGGCGGATCTCTGTGAGTTCGAGGCCAGCCTGGTCTTCAGAGTGAGCTCCAGGACAGGCACCAAAACTGCACAGAGAAACCCTGTCTCAAGAAAAAAAAAAAAAAAAAGAATGCAACACATCTTTGCATGTTAAACAAATATTCCACAGCATAAAGGAATGTAACACATCTTCTACTAAATATTCCACAACAGCTTACACCAGGAAAGGGGACAGGTTTGGGAGCTGGAGTGTAGGCAAAAACCAAAGCCAACAAAGATTGGAGCCAGGGACAGTGACCATGTAAGCCAGACAGACTTCACTCTGACGTCATGGGAATCCAGAAGGACGTTTTAATAGGGGATATGGCCAGTTGGTAGAGTTTTCATAGCATTCACAATGCCCTGGAGTTCAAGCTCTAGTGCTGTGTAGTCTCAGCACTCAGGAGATGGATCAAAAGTTCAAGGTCACTTTCGGGTACATATAAAAAAAACTCAGGATACATAGAACCCTGTTGATACCCTAAGAGATGTCAGTCTTCATCCTTGGCTTTTGGGGAGTATTTCTAAGCCAGGGAACATAGTTTCTGGTAAGTGGGGGTTGGGGGGGGGTGTACCAGAGAGTCTATGATAATAATCTGGATGATGATGAGAGCTTGGACCACACTCTGTTAGCTCAGTCTTGGAAGGGTGATTAACTATGTCTGCCTGACCAAGATCCCATGGAAACTCTGGGCTCTGGGTGCAGGCATGCTTCCTGGTCTGCAGTATTCCATGTCCATTATCATACCATGCTGCCAGAAGTCACTGCAGTCCGTGGCTCCACCAGCAAGAACACCCAGATGTTTGTGCTAGGAACTTAACTGGACCCTGGTCCACACCTGTCTTCTAATTGGCTGAGTTTTAAATTTTTATTTTATTTTATTTTTATTTTTTTTTAAAATATTTATTATGTGTACAGTGTTCTGCCTGCATGTATGCCTGCAGGCCAGAAGAGGGCGCCAGATCTCATTGTAGATGGTTGTGAGCCACCACGTGGTTGCTGGGAGTTGAACTCAGGACCTCTGGAAGAACAGCCAGTGCTCTTAACCTCTGAGCCATCCCTCCAGCCCTAAATTTATTTTTTGTTTTGGTTTTCTTTCTGTTGTCTTTGGGAAATAGTCTTGCTATATAGCCTAGGCTGGGCTTACAATCCTCCTATCCACTTTTTTTTTTCCTTTTTCCTGAGACAGGGTCTCATTATATAACTCTGGTTGGCCTGGAAATTGCTATGACCAGGGAGACCTTGAAAACAAAGAGATCTACTTGCCTCTGCTTTCCAAGTGTTGGGATTAGAGCCTATGACACCACACCAGACTTCCTTGGCTGATTTTAATCTATATCCTTCCCCTGTGCGACAGCATAACCATGAACCTTTCTATCAAAGGACCAAGCCTCGCCCAGAGTGGTGTCTGGGATTCCCAGTATGCGAGAAGCAGAAGCCAGGAAGGTGCTGCAGATGTGATGCTAGCTTGGTTTACAATTCAGTGGTTCTTAACCTCCTTAATGCTGTGACCCTTTAGTACAGTTCCTCATGTTGTGGTGATTCCCAACCACATTAGAATTACTTCGTTGCTAATTTGTAATTGTAATTTTGCTACTGTTATGAACGGTAATGTAAATATCTGATATGCAGGATATCTGATGTGTGACCCTGAATGGGCAGTTTGACCCCTAAGGGGGGGTCTCGACCCATATGTTGAGAACTACTGGTTTACATAATGAGTTCCAAGCCATAGTATCTTGCCTCAATTTAAAAACAAAACAAAAAAATCACCCAGCATGGTGTCACACGCCTTTAATCCCAGCACTCAGGAGGCGGAGGCAGGTGGATCTCTGAGTTCGAGGCCAGCCTGGTCTACAGAGCGAGTTCCAGAACAGCCAGGGCTACACAGAGAAACTCTGTCTGCAGAAAACCAAAACAAGAAACAAAAACAAACAAATTCTATTATTCTCCTTACGGGACATCTCTCTTCCTTAATTCCAACATCAAAAACAAAGTTCTCCGCCTGATGTAGTTGATCAAAATAAAAGCCTTTATAGATGTCTCGGGAGATGAGAAAAGTTAGGTTATAAATAAGCATTATGTACAACTTCCAACATCAAAGTCCTCCCAAACACACTTCCCAGTCTCCAGTCAGTGTGGTGGGGGTGGCAGAGATTGGGCACCACAAAGCAAACAACATTCGGGCTCCATCTCCAGGCGATGTCAGAGAAGGGGCAGGATTATGCCTGGAAAAAAAGAAGAAATGAGAAAGAAGCATTAGAAAAGGCATGGGGCCGGGGGCCTGGAGCATGAGAACCTGGGACTCAACTACCTCTCGAGCATAAATGGAAGGGGCCGGTATGACATAAATGGACCGAGAGTCTCCATCTTCAGGGTGATTCCAGTCAGCCGAACTGTGGGAGGAGAGAAAACGGGGACAATTCAGACCCATGAGTTGTTCTCCCGCACCCATCAAAGAGGGGAACCACAGGTTGGCCAGGGGGAATTCTGCAATGACCCCATCAGAAGGCTAGAACACCGGGGTAAGAGGGTCCAGTCGGGAAGATGCATCAAGGAATCAGGCCAATCAAATTGGCCATAGTGACAAGGTGTGCCCCCCTCACCTGGGGCCATCCCCAGCACCGTCTGGTATCCTCAGATTGTTGAGTGCGTCCGGCAGCGTGTGGACCGAAGGCTCCCGGGTCCCAGACAGCAAACGAGTCCCAGTATCCCGGCCAGGGCCGCGGCGGCGCACGTGGATAAGCAAGAGTGCGGCGCCGGCCAAGCCCGCAGCCACCAGCAGCCCCAAGGCGGGAGGCAGAAGGAGGCGCTGTGGGTCTGCCTGCCTCAGGCCCCGCGGGGCCGCGGGCACCGCGTCCGCGCCCTCGGGGCGCACGGCGAACTCGCATCTCACGCCCATGTAGCCGGGCGCGCAGGCGCAGACAAGGCCGGAGAAGTGGGCGTAGCAACGGCCTCCGTGCGCGCAGGGGCGAGAGGCGCAGGGGTCGGCGCGCTCCCGACAGTCGCGGCCGCCGAAACCCAGCGCGCACGAGCAGCGCCGCGCGCCGCCGCCCTCCACGCACGTGCCGCCGTTGGCACAGGCGCGCCCTGCGCAGTCGTCCAGGTGATGCTCGCAGCGCGGCCCCGCGAAGCCGGCGCGACAGCGGCAGCGCAGGGCGTGGCCCAGGTCCAGGCAGAGGCCGCCTGCGGGGAAACCCGGTCAGCTTCCCCCGGCCCCCTCCCGGCCCCCTCCCGGCCCCTGGGGCTCTTCCGCCTCTCTTGGACCAGACTTTCCAAGTTCCCCCGTCTCAAGAGCCACGTCGTTAAGTCAGCTGGCCCTCGCCCATGCTTTTTACATTCTGAACTCAAACATTGAGTCCTCCTGCGTTCTCCTCCCAAATGCTGGGGCTACAGCTGCAGGCCCGCAAGCAAGGTTGCCCCTGACTACTCCTACCTCTCTTTCTCCTCTCTTTCTCCCCTCTACCGCCATCTTTTCCCCCAGGCCTCTCTCTGTTCATATGCCCGAATTTCCTCCAGGAAAGCTTTCTCACCTTTCCTCCGGTTCAGCCCAGAGCCCCTATGCCCTGTGCCCACACCACAGCCCCGATGCCTCTGAGTTCTGAGTGGGCAAAAGAGGAGCCCCTGGGAGAAGGCAACTGCTGGTACACTTGAAAAAGAGCAGGGTCTAGTACTGTCCCTCCTGTCAGTCATTCCAAAGGAAACAATGGTCTGGTTTGGTTTCTTGTTTGAGGCAGGAGCTCAATATTCGCTCAGGCTAGCTTATAATCGTCTGGCCTCAGCCTCCAGAGTGCTAGAATTAACTATGCAACCAGCCATACTCAACTGTAACAGTATATAGGCATCACTGTGTCTACCAGACTCCTTACATCCATGATCTTATTTAACCTTTTGTTTGGTTTTGGGTTTTTTGAGATGGCCATGCAGCCCAGGCTGGCCTGGAACTCATATAGCCCAGGATGACCTTGAACTCCTGATGTTCCTGCTTCTGCCTTCTTCTAGAGTGCTGGATTTCTAGGCATGGCCCACTCTGCCCAGCGTGGCCTCATCTAATCATTTAATACATATGTCAAATCAGGGTTCTCCCTCTTAGAACTTTCTGTGGCTCCATCTCACTCAAGGGAAAAAGCAAAAGAACATCTTTCCCAGCAGGTCCCCAGGGTCTGCTCCTGTCCAATGCGTGACCTCACCTCTCTCCACTCTGGCTCAGTCCGCTCTGACACCCTGGCGCCCCTCCTGATCCACAGCACGCTGGCTGAGCACACCCCTATATCACATCAGCTCCAAATCGGCAGGGATTTGGGTCTCCCTCTCTGCTATATCCTCGATGCCGAAATCAAGGCCTGACAGGCAGTAAATTCTCAACAAATACCTATGAGATGACTCCTGCCTGTTTCATAGAATGGAGTAGGCAGAGGGAGGAGGGTCATGTCCCTAGGACTTAGGGCCACACAGGACAGAGAGGCAGGATTCCCACCCAGGGCCATCTGAGCCATGCAGAGACCCTACTCCCACTCCCCCCCCAACTTTATATCCCCACCCCTGGCCACTCTGGCTTCCCCTCCTCACCATTCTGACATGGCTGCGGGCTACACCGGTCCACCCTCTTCTCACAGTTGGAGCCTTGGAAACCAGGTGGGCAATGACAGACATAGGCAGAGTCGGGTTCTTCACCACCAACACACAGGCCGCCATTGAAGCAGGGTCCGTCTGCGCATGTCACCCCGCTCACCTCACATCGAAGCCCATAGAATCCCCGGGGACAGGTACATTCAAAGGAGCCGGAGGTTTCCTGAACAGAGACAAACTGGCTTTGGGCAGGAGGCTCCTCGGAGCCAAATCCCTTCCTGCTCCTTTACCACTATGGCTCTTTGTCCAGCCCCAAGTCCCAGGGTACAGGGCTTCCCCAGGAGTGCCGCTCACATGACCTTCAATCCACTCCACGCTGATTTTTCTGCACACAGAATCCCAGACTGGGTGAGGCTCTGAAACCCAGAAAGCTGTTCCTACCACACCTGTGCCTACCACATGACACCTACCTGGCCTGTCAACCCATCCACACACACATACACACACACATACACACACACACACACACACACACACACACACACACACACACACACACATCAACTCTATGCCCACTTTTCTCATGAAAACAATTTTAAAAGACAGGGTCTCCCCTTGGAGCCCAGGCTGGCCTGGAGCTCAGGATCCTCAGTGTCCCGAGTGCTGGGATTACAAGAGAGAGCCACCACACTACCTCCAAGAAGGCTTCTTTCCTGCCCCTCACTTGAAGACCAAACTCAGCACCTTTCATGTTCGAGGCAAGTGGTCAACCACCCACCGAGCTACAGTCCTAGCTGCCCCACAGAGTTTCTTGTATGTTAGGGAATGAAACCCCGGGCCTCTCAAATGTTAAGAAAGTGCTTGAGCCGGGCGGTGGCGGCACACGCCTTTAATCCCAGCACTCGGGAGGCAGAGCCAGGCGGATCTCTGTGAGTTCGAGGCCAGTCTGGGCTACCAAGTGAGTTCCAGGACAGGCGCAAAGCTACACAGAGAAACCCTGTCTCGAAAAACCAAAAAAAAAAAAAAAAAAACTCCTAATCCTGGCTGAGGCAGGAGAATTAGGAGTTCTGAGCCAGCCTGAGTTACATAGCTAGAACCTATCTCAAAGAAATCTGTGTGGGGTGGGTTTGCCAGATGCGGTAGCACACTCCTTTAATCCCAGTGCTCATGAGGCCTAAATAGATCTCTGTGAGTTCAAGGCCAGCCAGGTCTACAAAGTGAGCTCCAGGTCAGAAACGCTACACAGTGTGAGACCCTGTCTTGGGAGAGGGCGCTGGGGAGATGATTAGGAGGTAAATAATTTCTGTGAAAAAATGAGGTCAGATCCCCAGCACCCACATGAAAAGCGGGCTTGGGGCTGGAGAGATGGCTCAGAGGTTAAGAGCACTGACTGCTCTTCCAGAGGTCCCGAGTTCAACTCCCAACGACCACATGGTGGCTCACAACCATCTGTAATGAGATCTGGTGCCCTCTTCTGGCCTGCATGTGTACATGCAGGTGGAACACTGTATAGATAATAAATAAATCTTTAAAAAAAAAAGAAAGAAAGAAAAGAACGGGCTTGGAGGTGCACATCTGTAATCCCAGGAGTGCTGAAGGAGTAGAGAGAGAGAGATTGGTTCCACAGTCCAGCCGGCCGGGCCGCTCTATGCCGAGTGGGAGTCCCTGTCTCAAAAACTTAAGTAGACAGTGATAAAGACACTGTCTGGTCTACACACACACACACACACACACACACACACACACACACACACACACACACACACACACTCACACACTCACAAGCACAGTTGTAATCAAGATGTTGTCGGAAAGCGATACTGACACTACAACTGCCCCCGTTGGCACATGGGTTCCCATCACAGGGCCCAGGCCCAGGTAAAAGGCATCCAGTGTTGCCAGGACCTGGGACCCTGGAGTTCAGACAGCTGCTGGCGGAGACAGGGACAGTGCAGAGGGGTCCAGTCCAGCCCTCTAGGCAATGGCATTCATCAGGGTCTTCACAGTAGCCGTGCTCAGGGCTGCAGCCCTCTCGACACATGGCTGCAGGAGGCAGAGGAAAGGCAGAGAGACCATGATGTGAATG